TCGAGTTTCCTCGGGCCTACATCTCGGCCGGACGGTGCCGGCGAATCCACTAGAGAACGGAAAACAACCGAAGACGGTGATCTCCACAAAACCGGAGACTCACCCACGATGTGTCCAAGAAACAACCGAAAAAAAACAGAATACGCGACGCCTTACCGATCCCGACTCACCTACCTTGAGCCGCCTTCGATCCCGAGCTCCGGCGACGCCGAGAAACTCCTCCGTCGGCATAAACCTCCTTCTCCTTCGCCATCTCCGTTCTCCCTCTCTTTCTCTCTCACACCTCGAGCACCGTGTCTTGCGAATACCAAAAACACATTAGGGTATTAACCCTAAAACGCAAAACGCCACGTTTTTGGAAAACCTCTCCCTCACGTGGAGGGTTTAACTTTTCCACCAAATGGGCTTTTAGGCCCAACAATTAGTTTTTCAAACAAATTAAATTTATAAAAATCTGATTGTCAATTTTTCTCAATTTTGCATTCTAAAAACTTCAAAAATCGTATCCATTCAACCTGTTGTAATATACATATATAGTAGGACCAATTTCTGGATGCATAATAAACCGGTCTGAGTGGTGTAAACAAACCGGTATAGCGGTCAATTATCCTAAGCGCACAAGTCATGCCATATGATATCTGCAAAATCAACAAGGCAACAAAACAAAATTTAAGAACCAAAAGCTTCAGCAATGAAAAACAATGTTTTCCTACACGTTTGGACCTCAATCTTTTTCCTTTGAAACACAGTATGAAGATTAGATTTCTGTTATTCCATTAATACCCTTGTACTATTAATATTATGGAATAGCCAGAAACCTAAATTAAAATATTTTTAAAAAAAGTGACGATAATACCCTTGTACTCTCAAAATCAAGAACCAGTAAACGAAGTTCGATCGGCCGGTAGGAAAAATAATACAGTTTGACCAAAGAAGGTTCCTCAACGAGGAACTAAAACTGTAATGGACGCATCATCAACAGAACAAGGAACAGATCTGTCTGCAGATGCTGCTGCTACTGCTTCTCGATCACGACTACTTTGAAGGAAAAATCCCGGTTGCCGGGGAACTAGTAGAGTGATCGAGTTACTGGTAAGCATCAGGACGATCCTCGACAGTACCGGACGATCTGCGGGATTTTCTTGAGCGCATAATAGTGCGATATGAATGCATCTAGTAACGTCATCGCCCTGATAATTCTCTCCGATGACCGGATCTACGAGTTCTAAGGGCGACTCACTTCTCCAAAGCCTCCAAGCCTAACATAATGATCGATCAATTAGTATAGTCGAACAACCTTTGACAAAGGTACAGAAATCGGGAAAAGTTTGAAACTCTGTTCTTCATACTCACATGTGTTACCAAATTACCAACACTACCATCTTCCTCGTAGAAGCTGCTATTCATCTTGCCGCTTATAATCTCAAGGACTAACACTCCGAAGCTGTAGACATCAGACTTCGTGGAGAATTGCCCGTGCATCGCATACTCTGGAGACATGTAACCGCTGAAACATATGTAGCAAACACTTAGTGTAGTAGGAACAAACTTTTATTGAAACTTAGTCCCTAGGCACTCGCAGACGAAGTCCTTACTATGTTCCAACTATCCTGTTTGTCTTGGCTGGAGTTTGGTCTATCCCGACAATCCTTGCCGTGCCAAAATCAGCAATTTTAGGGTTCATAGCAGCATCTAGGAGAATGTTACTTGTTTTGAGGTCACGATGAATGACTGTGAGTCGTGAATCTTGATGAAGGTAAAGAATTCCTCGAGCAATGCCAACGATGATCTCGTACCGTGTTGTCCAATTCAGTTTTTCTTGCTTTGTAGTGTCTACACATACACATATATAATTGTTAGTAACAAGATGAACAACCTAGGTATTCAAGAATGACAAAAGAACTGTCACGATTGCTAGAATGTAAGAAAAGATGTCGAGTACAACGGACCGAAAAGCAAATAGTCGAGGCTTTTGTTGGGCACAAACTCATAGACGAGAATCTTTTCTTCTCCTTCTAAGCAAAATCCGAGAAGCCTAACCAGATTCCTGTGTTGAAGCTTGGCAACAAGAAGCACCTCGGTCTTGAACTCTCGTGCACCTTGTCCTGACATTTTGGACAACCTCTTCACAGCAACTTCTGTTCCGTTTGGAAGTGTACCCTACCAATTACATCACTTACCCAACTGTATTGATTCAAAATCTTGGAGAAGTAAAGTAGCACAAGAGGCAGTATGAGATCTAATACCTTGTAAACTTCACCGAACCCACCTTGACCGAGTCTGTTTCTCAGAGAAAATTGATTTGTTGCATCTTCAATTGTCTTAAAGTCGAATTGCAGTGACTGTGGAGCTGTGATATCATCATCATCAGCTGCACAATAATGTAGTTTGATGCCACAACATTAGCTAAGAAACACTTTTTCCCCATCACACTATGATCAAACTTCGGAATTCGAATAATTGCAAAACATGGAAAACCCACTTTCAAGTTCCATCGGTCGGTACAACTTTCTCCTCCTCCAAACAACGAATCCTAGAACAAGCAATGCCATGATTATAACACTGGGAATAACTATTGCCACGATAGTTCTCGTCAAACTCGTTTTACCGTCTGCACAAACACACAAGTACGGTAAATCACAAATTTTCCATGGCAATTTCTTTACAGTCATATATAGTTTTGTAGTTGGAGCGGACTAACCTTTTTTGGTTGTGTTGGTGTTAAACCTTGGAGAAGGAGGCGGAGATGCAGACATAACGTTTTCAAAGGCTCCAGAGAATGGATACAGTTCCCACCGATAAAAGCAGCTTGGTCTTGCAACAGAGCCGCCTCGCTTTCCATGGCAGCACGTTTGATAATCGCCAACACTTCGTCGTAGACAAGCCCTACAATCTCCAGGAGATAGATCTGAAGTGCATTGCATTAGTGAATATATTTTCACCTCGAAACCCGGTAGATCTTCTATTTCAGCCACGTAGTAGTTCTCCTTGCCTGAGGAAGCTTTAGCGATCATACGAGTTGCTAAACCCTCCCATATCCCATCAAGCTCTGTCGAATTTACACTCATATTTCTAGGGTTGAACTCGAGAGAACTCGGCTCCAAATCGAGGGATCCAAGAAACGAATGGTTGGAGTAGCGTAAGAGGCAAAGCGTTGGATGGCCAGGCCATGAATAGGCTTCTGTCTGGTTAGGACAGTTGCTTGTTATTCTTTCGGATTCTGTCTGGATACATTTGGAACAATCCTCGGTTCGGGCTCCATGGATGCACATCCCCAAGGCATGAACTCTATCGGGTTCTTGGCCAACCGAAACATTGTAGAATTTTCCTTGAGCTGTGACATTGGAGGGAAGATACGACAGAACAAGGCGACGGTTAATGTCATAAGTACCGTTTGGTCTGAAAGACCCTGCAGTGTCTGGACATATCTGTGCAGAAACAACACCAGAGCTTATTAGGGCAAACCAGAAGATCGACAAGCATGAACTCTTCTGTCTCATTTTGGAGATCAAACTAGAAGACAGACAAGCTAGAACTCTTCTGCGGCTATTGTCTGAACGTATCTATGAATATATATATATATATATATATTCCGTATCTTGCAGGTTTAACGGGAACTGAGATCTCTCTTCAACTTGCCATGGACAGAAATGTCTCAAGATGAGCCGTCAGTTATCTTCCATTCCCTAACTGAGTTTTCCACGACTTTGACAAAATAATTGAAAATTCCATGCGCATAAACGTTTAATCAAAAATCAACCATAGCGAAAGGACGAAATTCGGGGTTTCTTCAAAAAAGTCAAAGACCAGCCCGAAGGTTTCTGGCCGACCCAATTTTCTTTGGATCTATATGACCAATCCCAAAGTTCAGTCTTACAGGGCTCGGGTCGTCGGGCCGACCCGTACAATTTCTTCTTTGCAAACATTTTTTTGAATTACTTTAAAAATATTATTTTGGACTTTAGAACCAGAAACTGATTTGAACCCAATTTTTATAAAAAAAATTTAGATTCAAAATCCCATATTTGTTTAGATAAACCCGAGTCGGGCGGATTTTTTATTCAAATGATCCACTTGGGTCGCAGCTATTTCAGCGTACACCACCGAAAAAAAACAAATTTTTTTTTTCAATTTTAACCCATTTTTTCGGTTGGAAAAATCCGAAATACCCTTTTCTTTTTATTTTTTGCGATTTATTAAGATTAACATATAACTGATATACCACTAAAATAAGACAGATGATTTTTTTACCACCTTTTTTAGAATCAATTGTAACTATATTTAGAATCAAGTGGGTCATTTGATTAAAAAAACCCGAGTCGGGCTCCGAACCTAAATTGACAACCTCCGATCATGCAATTTAAATCAATCCTCAATCCTACTCCTACCGTCGCATATTTCCATATGCCCACCGACATATCCCATTTCTCCATCCTCCTCTACCCTATACGAATATTCAATTTTCACGAATCACAATAATACATGAATCGTCTTTTACATTCTCTAATACCCAACCCAAACCTCCGGTAACAATACAATAGCGATTCAGCCATTAGTGAAGTCCAAATAGAAACCAAGCTACACGTACCTGAGCGAAACCGATTCTGTCGCCCAGAAACTGGAAGGAGTTTTTAATGATTTCGGATTCAGAGGAGCAATTAGGGATTGAAATAGAGCAAGCTTTTAGGGTTTTCGGTTTCAGAGGAGCAAATAGGGTTCGAAATAGAGCAAGATTCGCCCGCAAAGGAAGAAATCACTGAGATTTTTGCAAAGGGCTTCGTGGGTTTTCGAAATGTAGTGTCGCAGAGAAATTTTAGGGTTTCGAAAGTTCGAACTCCCGCGGATTTTGGTACTTTAAACCGGTTCAAAGGATATATATATATCCTACTGGCTCCTACTTTCTGATACATTTAACCGGTGTGATTTTGAGTTGGATTCTAAAATCTTAATTAAAGAAATATGAAAACCAATAATGAATATGTGATGAAAATTCAATAACAAATATGGAGATGTCTACTGATTAATTATCCAACCGGTCTTTATATCCCGTGAATCTCACGTACACAACGAAATCTTCAACGCCATTTTATGCCCTTGAAATTCCCACGTTATTAATACTTCCACTTAGAAATTGTCGTCATTGAAATTTCAGTTTCTTTTTTGACAAGGTCGACGTAGAAAATTCACTGATGGGTCAACCTCCAAACCTCTCCGGCCGCGGAAAGTTGCAGAGAAATTTCAATTCCCATTACACTATACAAGATACGTAACAGATACGCGCGCATAGACTGTATAAACATATGTTCATATCCCTATTCCTCCTTGATATTCTAACTCAAGCATCGGTTTGATCTCCAAAATGAGACAGAAGAGTTCATGCCTGTCAGTCTTCTGGTTTGCCCTCGTAAGCTTTGGTGTTGTTTCTGCACAGATATGTCCAGACACTGAAAGATCTTTCAGACCGAATGGTACTTACGACGTGAACCGCCGCCTTGTCCTGTCGTATCTTCCCTCCAATGTCACAGCTCGTGGAGGATTCCACAATGCTTCGGTTGGCCAAGAACCCGACAGAGTGTTTGCCGTGGGGATGTGCATTCCAGACGCTAAGGCCGAGGATTGTTCCAAATGCATCCAGACCGAATCCGATAAAATAATAAGCAGTTGTCCTAACCAGACAGACGCCTATTCGTGGCCTGGTGATCCAACGCTTTGCCTCGTACGCTACTCCAACCGTTCGTTTCTTGGATCCCTCGATTTGTGGCCGAGTTTTCCGCTGTACAACACTGGAGATATCGGTGTAAATTTAACGGAGTTTGACAGAATATGGGAGGGTTTAGCAAATCGTATGATTGCTGCAGCTTCTTCCCCGTCTAAGGGCAACTACTACTCGGCTGAAATAGAGGACCTACCTAGTTTCAAGAGAATATATGCACTAATGCAATGCACTTCAGATCTATCTCCCGGAGATTGTAACGCTTGTCTACGACAAAGTGTTGGTGATTATAAGTCATGCTGCCATGGAAAGCAAGGCGGCGTTGTTGCAAGACCGAGCTGTTTTTTCCGGTGGGATCTGTATCCATATTCCAGAGCCTTTGAAAACATCACGTCAACATCTCCTCCACCACCTTCTCTACCACCTCCGCCTCCTTCTGCGAGGTTTAACGCTAACACAACCAAGAAAGGTTAGTCCTCCAACTCCTAAACTATGACTGTTAAAGATAAGTTGTGGAAAGTTTTGAAGTAATCTTTGGTAAATGGTGTTTATGCAGATGATAAAACGATTTCAACGGGAATTATCGTGGCAATAATTATTCCCACCGTCGTAGTCATCTTGGTGTTGCTTGCTTTGGGGATTGCTGTATGCTGGAGGAGAAAATCTTATAGAGCAATTGAACTTGAAAGTGAGCATCTCCCTTCCGGGGAAATAGATTTCGATAATGGTTATGATAAAGGTTTTACTGATAAGCAATGCTTTTAATCTGCAGCTGAAGATGATATTTCAACTACCCACTTGCTACAACTGGACTTGAAGAGTATAGAAACCGCAACAAATAGATTTTCGGAGAGTAAAAAGCTAGGTGAAGGTGGATTTGGCGAAGTTTACAAGGTACAAACTTTGGTTGTCTGATAATTTGAATCAACAACACAAACGGATAAGCGACTATATATGACTTATGATCCGTAATAATTTGTAGGGTATGCTTCCGAGTGGAACCCAAGTTGCAGTGAAGAGGCTGTCAAAAACTTCAAGCCAAGGTGCAAGAGAGTTTAAGAACGAGGCTGTTCTCGTAGCAAAGCTTCAGCATAGAAATCTGGTCAGGCTTCTCGGGTTTTGCGTTGAAGGAGAAGAAAAGTTGCTCGTGTATGAGTTTGTGCCCAACAAAAGCCTTGACTATTTCCTGTTTGGTATGTTGGATTTCAATAATCTTGAAACTTGGATTGTGAATCTTGAGGCTAATAATGGGGTAGTATGGATGTGAATGTGTAGACCCTGCAAAGCAAGGACTACTAGACTGGACGGTACGGTACAAGATTATCGAAGGGATTGCTCGAGGAATTTTGTATCTTCACCAAGATTCACGGCTCACAATCATACACCGTGACCTCAAAGCGAGTAATGTTCTATTAGATACTGACATGAACCCGAAGATTGCAGATTTCGGAATGGCGAGGATATTTGGAGTGGACCAGACTCAAGCCGATACAGGAAGAATCGTCGGGACATAGTAAATCTTTCCTTTCTTTTGTCAGCAAACTGCATGTGTCTTTGCCTTTGTTGCCTGAAAACTGAAGTTAGCTTTATGTTTCAGCGGCTACATATCTCCCGAGTACGCGATGCATGGCCGATTCTCCATGAAATCTGATGTCTACAGCTTTGGAGTCTTAGTTCTGGAGATTATAAGCGGCAAGAAGAACAACAGTTTCAACCAAACAGAGGACAATGTCAGAAATTTAGTAACACAAGTGAGTAACAGGAACTGAACAAGTGAAAAAATGTTGAGTATTGAATAACTAACTGATTGATCTCTCTCTCTGTGGAAGGCTTGGAGGGCATGGAGAAAGGGGTCGCCATTAGATCTCGTAGATCCGACTCTTGGGGAGAATTACCAGAGGGATGAAGCAATTAGGTGCATCCACATCGGTCTGCTATGTGTCCAAGAGAATCCAACAGATCGACCAACGTTGTCAACGATCATGCTGATGCTCACAAGCAACACGATCACCCTTCCGGTGCCTCACCCACCTGGCTTTTTCTTGCCAAGTGGACAAGATCTGAGTTCGGTTTCCGAGTCTACTACAAGCAAGTCTGTTCCTTGTTCGGTCGACGATTCATCCTTTACTGATCTTTATCCTCGTTGAATATGTCCTTCTCCTTGTGTACCGAACCATTCATCTTTTTCGGTGTCTTATGTCCGCACACGTCTGGTATGAGACGCGAGCATGTTGCTTGTACTGAAGATTTTCAGCTCTTTACAAATAATAAATCGAATTAAATTTAAGGGCCGTAAATCCGATTAAAATTCCACAACTTGAAAAACTAATTTCTAGATTTATTTCCTTAACAAATTAATTCCTTTACAAAGTGTGAATACAATTTTCAAACTTCCAATTTGGTTATATACAAAATATGGACCAACGGTGACCTCAAATTCATATCCTTCCTAGTTTGACACGCAAATATAGATATCAATGCCACATAAACAGTTTTAAAATTTAAAAAAAAAAGGATTCCAGTTGAATTGATCGGTTAAAAAAAACTTTACCTAAATTCCATTCCCCCTTTTCGATTAGGATTAAGGTTTTTTTTTTAAATGTTTTCGAAGCCTCTTCACTAAGGATATTAAATAGATTTAAAGTAAATAATTATTTATATTTTTTATACGTAAATTAAATCTGAATGGGCCCTTATAAGCCCATATAGCCCAGACAAAAAATCGTATATGGGCCCATTGAAGCCCATTTAAGACGAAAAAACAAATTTATGTATTAAGACCGACCGCTGATAGGTAACTTTTTCACGCTTTGGAGCGGCCGAAAGTCCCCTTACAGTGGTGGTCGACTCGTCTCGTCACCTCCGCCTAGAATCTCAGGTATGCCTGATTCTCTCTCTTCCCCCCGACCAGCGGAGAAACCTCGACATCACTGTCGGAACTGTGGTTTAATCAAGAATTTGATTTGCCCTGTATATCACCATGGATTTTCTTTTCGGGTGTTTATCTACATTTCCATTTTCTTGCTTGTTTCCCCTCTTTGTAAAGGTTGTAACTAATCCCATTGATTTTCTGACAGAAATATTTGAGTTTGTTTGGTTGATGTTCTTCTTAGGGTGAGGCAGTTGCATGCAGCAGTAAGGGTGACAATCTCGGTTCCTTGTTCGTCTTACAAAGTTCAAAGTCCCTCACTTTGGATAAACCCTAGGCTTTATTGTTGGTGTACGAGATCACTGGGAACAACTTCGGATGCAGTTTCTCAGTTCGCTGGCTTCCCATGTCGGAAACCTTTGTCTCAGATGGAAGCAATTCCCTTATTCGCATCATTTCTCCTCTTCTCCGAATTCACACTCGAGAGGTCAGCTCATCGATTTTCTCAAGAAGCAAGGGTTCCCGAAATCTCAAGCAGTTTCCATGGTGGGTCGTTTCCCTCACGTTGGATCCCTCGACCGTCCTCGAACCGTGGTTCAACTTTTCAGAAACCTAGGTTTCTCTGATTCTCAGATCCGGAGCTCGATCCGGGTCCTACCCCAGATCATCTTCTGCGACGCCACGAAGAACCTTGAGCCCAAAATTCGATTTCTCGAAGAACTCGGATTCTCTGGTTCTGCTTTGCCTAAGTTCCTCTCTAAAAATTCCTCGGTTATGAGCCTCAGCCTGAAGAAAAGATTGATCCCTTCCACTGAAATTATAAAGACCATTCTCTCGCCTAACGACGAGAACAACAAGGAACTGGTTAAGGTTCTTAGCAGATGCAGTTGGCTGCTGAACAGAGACCCTAATGCGTATCTCTTACCCAACATTGCTTATCTCAAGTCCTGTGGAATTGTCGGCTCACAGCTTGCTTTCCTACTGAAGAAACAGCCAAGGCTCCTCATTTCGGAGGAGAACAAGCTTAGGGTTTATGTTTCTCGTGCTCTGGATCTGGGTTTCAGTGTTAACTCAGGAATGCTGGCTCACGCGGTGCACGCGCTCAGTTGTCTGAGCGAGAAGACATTCGACAGGAAAATGAAGACGTTTTTGGATCATGGGTTCTCAGAGGATCAGACAAGAGAGATGATCAGAAGGGCTCCTGGTCTGGTTCGATGCTCAACGGACAAGTTGAAGTTGGGAATGGAGTTCTACATGGAGACAATGGGGATAAAGAGAGAAACTTTGGTGAAGCGGCCATGTATGTTGATGCACAGTATGGAGGAGAGAGTGATACCTAGGGTTAAGGTTTTGCAGGTTTTGAGAGGGAAAGGACTGTTGAAGAAGAAGGAGCCTAGTGTGTTAGAGATGTTGCAGCTCTCTGAGAAAGATTTCTTGGAGAAATTCATATCAAGATTCGGAGACGAGCATACTATGGATCTGTTGGTGGCTTACAAGGGCCATCTTGTTGATGCTAGTGATACCTCTTCTGGTTCTTGTTCCTCCAGCGATGATTGATTAGGCTCCTTCTTCAGCAAGATATTATGATTGATCTAGTTGATGCCATGTTTGTTGATGCAAAGTTCGAACTGTCTATGAACAACTTGGTGACTTCAGTAATAACCAGATTTATTGAACTGAGTTATATAGACAAGATTTATGAAACAACCGATAAGACAAGCAGTTGGGCCATCAACGAGGGCTTAAATCTGTGATCGTTGCCTCGTCGATGGAACAAGGAATAGACTTGCTGGTTATGTCCGATTCCCCGACCAATGGATTCGGCTCGAGTCTATCTCCTAAGAAAAACCCAGGTGGTCGGGGCACTGGTAGAGTAACCGTGCTTGTGGTGAGCATCTGTAGGAGATTCGACAAGGATGGACGGTCTGCAGGATCTTGTTGAACGCATAAAAGGCCGATGTGGATACATCTAATAGCCTCATCCGTATCATAGTTCTTCCCGATGGTCGGATCTACTAGTTCTAACAGTGATTCGTTTCTCCATAGCCTCCAAGCCTGAATTCATGATCATGGAAATCATGATCACAGTTACAGAAGTGAAAATCATAAAGCTTGATTGGTTTGTACTCACAAATGTGACCAAGTTGCCGAGAGAACGGTCCATCTGATGGAAGCTGCTATTTTTCTTTCCACTAATAATCTCCAGAACTAAGACTCCGAAGCTATAGACATCAGATTTTGTCGAGAACTGGCCATGCATCACATACTCCGGAGACATGTAACCACTGGAAAAAATACAAGAAGCTTATGTTCACGGTAAGCAAAGGATTCATCAAATTTCATTTTACAGACAACTAGGAATGGTATTTACTTACAAGGTTCCAACTACTCGTCTTGTATTTGCTTCGGTTTGGTCTATACCGAAATTCCTGGCCATTCCAAAATCTGCGATTTTGGGGTTCATATCAGCGTCTAGGAGAATGTTGCTCGCTTTGAGGTCACGGTGTATGATTGTGAGTCGTGAATCTTGATGAAGATACAGAATACCTCGAGCAATCCCTTCGACAATCTTGTACCGTTTTATCCAGTCCAACTGGCCCCGTCTTGTAGAGTCTGTACATCAATATATAGTACAATCGGTGCCTGAACGATGCCTAAAGGATTATCGAGACTTTTGTCGGGCAAAACGAAAAGTAACTGAGTTAATGCGACAGACCAAACAGGAAGTAGTCGAGGCTTTTGTTGGGCAAGAGTTCATAGACAAGTATTTTCTCTTCTCCTTCCAAGCAAAACCCGAGAAGCCTGACCAGATTCCTATGCTGAAGCTTTGCGACAAGGACCACCTCGGTCCTGAACTCATTTTCGCCTTGTCCCGATGTTTTCGATAGCCTCTTGACCGCAACTTGCGTTCCACTCGGAAAGATACCCTGCAAATACATAATCTAGTCTCACCATCCGTCAAAAATGTCAAGATATACGAACGATACGAGATGGTCGAAGAATGCAACTTTGTAGACTTCGCCAAATCCACCTCGACCGAGTCTGTTGCTCTCTGAAAAGTTATCCGTCGCTGCTTCGATTGCCTGAAAGTCAAATTGCAGCGAGCCTGAGGTCGCAATATCGTCTGAAGCTGCAATCGCATCAGCAAAACTGTAAAACGTCGGAGATATAAGTGAAATCTATAACAGATTACTGAAAGGGGGTTCGACTCTCACCTTCGTCCGAGGGTTCTGTATCATAAGTCTTCTTCTTTTGTCTATCTGCGAGGGAAAAATACCGATCTGCAAAAGGAAACCAAAAATAGAAAAAAAAAAGAAAGATACATTGGTTTTGATTGTTTTTAGTGAAAAGATTACAAATTTGAAATTTGGATTCAAAACTTGCGAGATTTTGTTGGAAATTTAAGCAGAAACTCACTTTGGAGCTGTAATGCTCGGTGAGATTTTCTCCTGCAGCAAACAGAAAACCCTAGAGCAAGCAATATGACGGTAACCACACCAGAAAGGGCTATTGCTGCTATGATTCCCGCTGAGATTTTTTTGCCACCTGCACCAAAGATTATCATCACATGGATGAAAATGAAGGAAAGAAAAAGTAGTGGAGCTTACAAGGGTTGAGTGTGTTATAAGGAGCGAATTCAAACTTACCATTCTCGGCCACAGTGATGGTCCGACCGCCTTCCTCCGGAGGTGGGGGAGGTTGCTGTCCAAACACAGAAGTGGTGCCGTCGAAAGACCTGGAGAATGGATACAGATCCCACCGGAAGAAGCAGCTCGGTCTTGCAACAACGCCGCCTAGCTTTCCTCGGCAGCATGACTGATAGCTACCAACACTAGATTGAAGGCAGGCATTACAATCCCAAGAAGATAGACTAGGGATGCATTTCATTAGCGCATATAACCTTTGGAAGCCCCCGAGAGGTTCTGCGAGGGCTGCGTAATAGGCGGGTGTAGACACGGCTGCATCTATCATTTGACGCATGGTCCGTTCCCATGTCTCAACAAACTCCGTTAAATTTAATATGATATCTCTAGTATCAAACCGCCTATTACTCGGCTCCAGATCGAGGGATCCAAGAAACGAACGGTTGGAGTAACGCACGAGGCAAACCGTTACTTCACCAGACCATGAATAGGCGTCTGTCTGGTCAGGACAACTGCTTATTATTTTACCGGACTCTGTCTGGATGCATTTGGAACAATCCTCGGTCTTAGCGTCTGGAATGCACATCCCCACGGCAAACACTCTATCGGGTTCTTCGCCAACCGAAGCATTGTAGAATCCTCCGAGAGCTGTGACATTGGAGGGAAGATACGACAGGACAAGGCGACGGTTCACGTCGTAGGTACCATTCGGTCTGAAAGATCTTTCAGTGTCTGGACATAGCTGCGCAGAAACAACACCAAAGCTTATTAGGGCAAACCAGAGGATTGGCAGGCATGAACTCTTCTGTGGCATTTTGGAGATGAGACCAATGCTTGAGTCAGGGAATTGAAATTGTCTGTTACGTATTCTGGAAATGGGAATTGAAACTTCTCTGCAACTTCCCGTGGACTGAATTGTCTCAAGGTGGCCTATCAGCCATGATCCTTTCCTTGGCTGAATTTTCTACGTCGACTAATTGAAACGTGGAATAAAAGTGAATCATAGCGAATGGTAGGTGTAGTAACGTGGAAAGCTCAAGGACATTAACGGCGTTGTGCTTTCTCCAAGAAAGCTACAGGATTTACCAACTGCCCTGAAGGTTTACGAACTACCAAGAAATCTTTTTTTTGTAGATTGACTGACACTTTCAATGAGAATTTTGTCAACCATAGCGCGGGAAATCCGTAATAAACTATGAACAGAGTGCCTGAAACTTTGGACTCTCCAATGGCCGGATCCACGAGTTCTAATGGCGACCCATCTTTCCAGAGCTTCCACGCCTGAAACATCGATGACCCGTCAAATATCTTGTCTAACCTTAAATGATATCAAAAACTTTGAAAACTTGGTTCTGGTTTACACTCACATGTGTGACCATATTTACAGCTGTACCATCCGTCCGGTGGAAGTTGCTGTTCATCTTGCCGCTTACAATCTCCAGAACTAGGACTCCGAAGCTGTAGACGTCAGATTTCACCGAGAATTTTCTTTTCTTTTTTTTTTTCCTGTGCGAGTTCTGCGACCACGTTTCTTCTGGTTTTTAGCTTGTCTGAAGAGAACTCTGAAACCTTGTGTCTGCGTTTGTTGTGTCCCGAGGGGAAGTGGGCGCTTGAGCAAGAATGCCATCGCAGCCACTGCGTTTGCGTTTGGGCCACAGACATAGAACTTGTAAAGGGTGACATGCAATTCTCTTGTTGTAGGAATTACAGAAGCAAAAAAATGTTCAACTTGCCTTCTCGAATCAATTACGTGACACCCAAGAAACATTGCTAATTCATATCCCCAGTTGGGATCAGACCCGAAGAAGAGCACTCCATCTTCATCGAGGTTCTAAATCGGTAAAACATGAGTTGTGTCGATGGATTTTCTCCCAGACTGGATCTGTTCGAGATTACTTCAAAAAAGAAGAGTGCTTGTGACATCTGCATGATCTTGTTCTTGGACACATGTATAGCAGACAGACATGGATGCATCTAGCGACGTTGTTACACTGATAACTCTCCCCAATGGCCGGATCCATGAATTCTAATCGCGACCCGTTTCTCCATAGCCTTCAAACATAGCGAGATGATAACGACTCAAGACTTCAATCGAAACGTGGCTCTGTATACTCACAAATGTGAATAAACTACAATCAGTATGAAACAACGTATAAATCGTCTTGGGGAGTGGACATCAAGCGAGAGAGAAGAGAGGGCAAGGCAGCGATTTCTGTCCCAAGTGACCATTTGCAAATGATTGAATGAGATATTTCTAAAATGGTTGAAACCGATATACACAGTAATGATATGTGATTGAGATTCTCTTGGGAAAATCGAGACAGGGACGTCAGAGTCATAAATGATAAAGAAGGGTGATTTAGTGAAATAGTAGAAAGTCTAAGGAGCTCTGGAGAAATAACGTTTTTTTATTCTTTTTGCCAACAGAAAAAAATAGCACTTCGAAACTTTTTGTCAAAGTAGGATAACGTTATATATATATATATATATATAATGTTTTAAGATTTGGAAGTTGGGATTTCCAGAAATATTATTAGATTTGTATCCATAATAATCAATTAATTAATGGATTATTAAAAGAATTACATGTGTATTTGTAGACGTAGGTGTACTTTTTTTATAAAAAAAAATCTACAAATCATTTGTTGATATTTTCTGAATTTTATTTTGTTGTTTTGTCCAATTCATTCAACTCTTTACAACGTTAAAAAGTCCTAATTCTTAGCTTCTGATGAATTTAATATGATAAATTTTAAATATTTAATAGGATGAATTTAATTTTTGATAATCTGCTAGAAAATCAGAATAAAAAATAATAAATCTTCAAACACTAATAGAATAGTTTAACAATGAACTCCGATAGAAACGCCATTAATTTCTTTGATGTTATATATTTAAAACAGAAAGTTAAAATGAGATAAAATAAAACTAATTAATCAGTGAGGGAAAAGATTCCGTGGGTTGGATGTGGCCAGCGCTCTCAGATTTTGCTTCCTCCCGCCCGCCCTACCCACATCACATGGCATATAGATTTAAGAATAGTTTAACAATGAACTCCGATAGAAACGCCATTAATTTCTTTGATGTTATATATTTAAAACAGAAAGTTAAAATGAGATAAAATAAAACTAATTAATCAGTGAGGGAAAAGATTCCGTGGGTTGGATGTGGCCAGCGCTCTCAGATTTTGCTTCCTCCCGCCCGCCCTACCCACATCACATGGCATATAGATTTACCATTTTACCCTTCCCTCTATCACTGCTCTTTTTACCTTTTTACCCCCAACCCGGATTTTGCGCCCAACGGTAGACGAGTAAATGTGTTTTTATTAGGTAATCGTTGTTTGGTAAAAAATTAAATTGATCAAAGATTAGTTGGTCCGCCAAATACTATCCATAAATAACTTAATCTCATAGTTGGTTCTTTTGAATTTCCCAAATAAATTTATTATTGAAGAAAATTTTGAATGATTGTAATTTGTTTTTACGAATCCTAATTATATATGGTCATTCCAAATCCCAAGGAGAATTTTGTCTTTTACCGTTGAATAGTCAAAAGTGGGCCTTACAATGTCCGAAGCGGCCCATTATGGCTCTGAGGTTAGTAGGGAGTTTTCCGTAATTTTATTCCAGTGGCAGGATCTGTAACGATTAATTATGGGTTAGTGTTTAAACTTGTTTGAAATGAATAAATAATACATATTGTTTCTGGGTTAACACAGAAATTAATTGGGAGAGTGGAGAGAGGAATCACACGTGAGACTCCCGAGAATCATGTTTTGGTAATTTAATTAAAAGCTAAACCAGAGAGAGAGAGAGAGAGATTGCACAGTGCAGAAAACTGGGGAGCAAAAGCAACAAAAATGATGGCATGAAGGAGAAATCGATTGATGGCTTTTTCCCTCTTTTTGTTTCCATTACAAGACATGATCAGTTACCTCAGCGACACTCTTGTCATCCGTCATTCTTCTTCTCCAGATGCATGAGAGAGAGAGAGATTACGAAGAAATCTCTCCACATTACGTCACTCTCTCTCTCTAACTCAGGCATGCTTCTCTCTCTTGATCCTCTTTCTATCTATCTATCTGTGTTTTTGTTGGGCCTCTTGTTAGTTCTCCTTCCTTTTTCTTTTTCTTTGTTTAGACCTATATGTGTGCTTTTGTTGGGTTCTCTTCTTTGATGACTTCTATTTTGTTTTTCTTTTTCCTGCTTTACTATGTTCGTTTTCGTTTGTGTTCGAAGGCTATGACTGAGTCTGCTTCTTGCAAGTATCCTTGTGCCTTTTGTTGCTCTTTCTGTCTACGTATACGAGATTTAAATTGGGTATTTTCAAAGTTTCCAAATTTTGCATGTACTGTTTTGTTGCGAGGCTTGATCTGTATCAGTATACCCTTTGGATTGATTGGGAGGGTCTACCGTTTATGGCAGCTTCAACATGGGCGCAACTCATTTCTAAATTTCAGAAATTTTGTTCGTCGGATCCATTCGCTCTGATTGGGATTCTGATCCGTCTATGGAAATCCTTTGCAAAGTTTTGACATTGATTTGGCTTGCTTCCAATTGAAAGAAAGCTTCAGACTTTAGTGGTTTCTTGTATATTGTATTTTAGCCTGAAGCTTTAATCGGGGGATGCATATTTTTTATCCTTTAATCCATGATTTTTGTTGAACTTTGTGGGTTTTGGATTGGATAAAGTTTCTGTCTTTCATCTTCTAGGGGTATGAGCCTGTTCATAGATGTCTGATAAGACTGCATATCTGTTCACTGTGAAATAGGGGGCTGAAAGTTGTAAACTTTCCATAAATTTTGATGATTTCAGTAGTTTCAATCTCACAAGGGGAATAGAGATGGAAGTCAGCAAAGGCATTGATACGGAACATAGCCCCGACAGTGTTCTTCCTCCTCCGCATCCGTTTCGAGTTTCAGAGAAGAGGAGTACGAGGTTGAAACCGCCTCGTAGAGATGAAATATTGAGAGTGAAAGAAGGCTTCACCGAGATAAGCTTCAGGCGTTACCGTAGCTCCTCTTGTAAGAATTTTCCTTCCCGACCTCTTGCAATGGGAGATAGGATTGAACAAAGACGAGGCTCTGTGTATCAAAGTTCTAAACAAGTATTCAGAGAGATGAGATTCTCGGAAAGTACTCAGGCAAGGCCAAAACTTGAATTGTCCCGTGCTAGTGATGCCTCTTTCTCGTTCAGAATTGTGGATCCTTCCAGAGCAGGACGTATCGGGAAAATGCCACAGAACGATACTTCAGATGAACAGAAGTCTTCGGTCGAAACTTTTACATCCGGTGGCTTTATTGACATTTGCTTGAACTCAGGTATCAAGGACAGAGCGACGGTATTGGAGTCAGATGATGAACCGGGTATCAGATCCGACAAAGCAGCTGGTTCTTTGAACAGGTATAATGGCCATAAAACAAGATTGCCCAAGTCCCAGTCTGCAAAAGTAGAAAGGCGGTCAGTATCTTTATCTGAAAGCAATTGCAATAAGGAAAGCTCAAAGACACAGTTTGGTAATATTAGGAAAATGTTTGATCCATTTGTCAAATCGAAGTCTCTGAGAAATCCCCTTGGACACATTGGAGAATCGGGCCAGTTCAAAGCAGAATGTACGGAAAAAATGATGAAGGACAGTGATCATTGCAAAGCATTGTTCAGTGGCAACTCAGATAATCATAAAAAAGGGAATACCCATCCTACAGTCATGAGTAAGGACCATACACTGGCCCTCAAGTCTTCCCCAGTTCATCTACGAGGTCGTCTTAATCTGGAAAACAAAGATGGGCTGCCAGTTTTTTGGTTCGTCTTGGATTCTCCTGGGGATGTTTATGTGGGAAAAACATGGAAATCTAACAATGGTTCCAACTGGACATATACATTTTCCTCTGTCGGAAGAAGAAAGAAAAGCAATGCAAGTGCATGGGGTTTGAATGACGGCTACCGAGAATCCTCTATCGTTGGTCAGATGCAAGTTTCCTGTTACATGTGTACCGAACTAAGAAAAAAGGGTCAAGATCCAGACAAACTGATGGTAACCGAGTTTGTTTTGTACGATAGTGCGCGTGAGAGAAAAAGTGTTTCTGCACATGCAGATCCATCCCGACCACATGATAAAGTTCGGAAAAATTCTGCTAAACCAGACTTGAATTCAGGAAATATTGAACCGGATGACGGTTCTGATGTATCGAAGCTGAGACCTCAGGCCAAGTGTGCATCTGAAAGTTGCGATCTTGATGCTTCAAATGTACCAAACCCGTTGCCAGCTGCAGATTTGCATCCTGACCTTGAAATCGCGGCTATAATCATTCAAGACCAGATTGAGAAGAGGGAAAGCTTAAAGTATAGAAGAGGCGACCAAAGGGTCATGGATAAGAGGAATCTTCTAAGTCTTTCTCCTATCGATGAAGGCAAGAAATACTCTTACGGAAGCAGAAATCCAGAAAAGTTAAAGGTCGTAATCCCGAGGGGAAACCATGGCATACCAACTTCTGAAAGCTTTGGCCCTTCACCTTTGCTTAAGAGATGGAGGTCAGGTGGCTGCTGTGACTGTGGTGGTTGGGACATGGCTTGCCCTCTTGTGGTTTTCGGAAACCCTAGTCTCTCATGTTCTCATGATCACCCTCTTGTGGACAATCACCATCCATTGAAACTATTTGCCCAGGTAAAAAAATGGATCCTTTTACTCAATGGAACACGATTCTGTTGCTAATGGTGCATGTAAATTTTGAACTGCATGGCTAGTTTTAAAGATTGGAGCTTTATGATAGATTTCAACTGCAAAACCTTACACTTTGCCCCGTATAAGTGTTAAATGCTTGATGTGGAACTCTTGTTCCATTTTTATCTTACATGTTAGACAGTTTGGTCATTCTGATGTTTTATCTTTATAGGGAGCTAAGGAGAATACACCAGCGTTGTCCATGTCATTTGTCGAGGAGGGACAATATGATATTCATTTCCATGCACAGTTATCAGCATTGCAAGCATTTTCCATCTGTGTTGCCATACTGCATAACATGGAAGCTTCAGGTGACTGTAAAAATGGTGAGGACATGCAGTTGTCACAGAGCAACTTTCTGGAAATGCTTCTCGACGATGAAGCCATGTGCTTAGTTGAAGCTGTCACAGAGGAGGAGGAGAAGAAAGTTACCACTCTCCCGTCTTACATGCCTAACCCGCCTTTTTCACCAATCTCCCGAGTCTAAACCCCGAGACCATCACCTTCAGAAGTACGTTAAATGCCGATAAGAAGAGAAGGGTGGTTTCCAACTCCAGAAAGATTTTCTTCCTTGGACAAGCTTGAGGAAAATGTTCTGCATTCTCTGATCTCTTAAGATTTCTGCTGAGGTGTCTTTGGAGAAAGGGACAAAATTCTTTGATGTATCATTTGTTCATTCTTATGAGTAGGAGTTAGGGTTTAGTTGCTATACTGTTCATATTGTAGCTTAGCAAGGGAATGTAAGGCACTCGATTTGGTTAGAGGGTTCTTTGGAAACCAGGTCAAGGGTTTTTTGGAAAAGTTTTTGTATCATGAAATGAATAATGGGCCTTTTTCCTGTTCACTCGCAAAAGTTAAGTACTTTACACAAATCACAAATGAATACAAGAATTTCATCAAATGACCTATCCATATAATTGCACAAAAAATGCCCTACCAAAAATGAACGAGACTGTTATCTTTTCATCTCTGCACAAAAATCTCTCGACCCATCATCTGTCATATTCATTCATATTACACTTCCACAACAACCCTTTATGAGCGCATGCCCTGCAGCATTGGTGTACCCTCTTCATCATTCAATGGTGAACTGTTTTCATCCCTTGGTTTGAGCCAGTCCGGTAAATAACTGGTTTGTGGCGTTTCTAGAGAGAGTATACTCTTATAGAATTCATACGAGGCGAAGAATATAGCCCCCTGAGACATGTACATCACCAGTCTCGGGATCAAACCCCTGCGCATAGGAAAACGTAGGTTATGCTCGTTATATGATGAAGCCTAGAGAATATAGGAGCTGTGTGTAAAGACTGGAAGATTGAGGTAGTGAAAGCAAGCCAACCTGTATAGCCCTCTCAGACCTTCTTGTTTGCCTATTGCTCGAAGAGCTTGAAACACGTTATGATATCCGTTCTTAGAGCCCGGAATCTGCAGCCACAGGATAAAGGACGAGAAATATGACCAAAAAGCTAGATATAGGCCACAATACCATATCCACTAGTAGCATCAGGGAAAAAACAATACTTGTTCCAGCAACTCAATGCAAAATACTATTTGGTGCCTGAAAAGTTTGAACAGAGAGTAAAAAACCTGGGTTTGTAATCTTGTTTTCACCACATCAAATGGGGTTGTGAAGAAAGCAGCCGCAGATCCAGCTAGTCCTCCACAGATAAGCTGCAAGGAGAAAACATTGGCATATATATCATCCAAGCAAGTCCGGATCACCAAAATTCGAAGAAAATGGACACACCCTACTAAGTGAACCAAAAAAGTGCAGCATTTTCGTGGAGGGAGGAAAAGAGGAGACAAACCGTTCGTGATGTGTTGGGTTGAGCATAAGGATCTAAGGACGGTAACATCAATTGCTTCAAGCTTTCATACACATAGAACTGTATTTCCAATAAAGGTGGCATCAGAAACTGATAGCTTCGAGGAGAGAAGGAGCATAACAAGGAGTGTGGAAATACAGATCGGAAGCAGCCAGCCCCTAGTAAGAGGACATGATTGCCTCGTGAAATACATAAGCAGAACCTTAATGATTGAATGAGGAATATTTCTACACAGCACTGCGCTCCATCCGGCATATAAAGAAAGCAGACCACCCTTCTGAATGATTCCAACGAGTGCACCCCTGCAAATGAAGATTTGTGAAGAAAAGATCAAGAAAACATGTTGGAGAAGCAAAGTTGGTAAAAGAAAAGTGAAATGGACAAAGGATTTTAAAATGCAAATTGTTCATTTTAAGGAGGTGCTTCTTTTCAGGAGAGAAGAGTATAAGGAAATCATAGGAGTCAACAAGATTAGATTGGAAATATTTACCAGCAATTGCGATAGTGTGAACTGACTTGCATCTGTTGTTTTATACGCTCACTAGGAGTGAAAATAAAGGAAGTTGCAACGCTTGCACAACCACCAGCTACGCAATGGATAAGAGGACAATATTCCTGAAAATCTAAGGACTCAGTCATAAGGTCTGGCATGTTCCACTCAACAGGTTAGCAGAATGACGAAGAACCATCCCCGGGAAAAATTATTGAAGAAAACGTGGTAAGTTATTTAAGAGGCAGTTCCATGCTAAAAAAAGTTTAAGGACCTTGGGAGAAAGCGGCAGTAGAGCTCCTTTAACTGATTCATACGTAAAAGTATAAAGCGCAGATATAGGAGCTGATGAGGCAATATTGCTGGCAATTCCTCGGTAAAGGCCAGAGAAACCTGAAAGGATATGGAAATATGATTGGGTTAAACACCAATGTGCAATGACAAACTAACACAGAAAACCTCCAAGTGTTGTCATCTCATGTATACTTGTTTACCTCTTTCAGATATAACGGATCTACCAACACTGATTGGTGATTTCTTTTCCAAAAGGCATGACTGAGTTATTGTCTTAACTGTATCAAGTGGATGAAGACAAAGACTGACGCTAATTCCTGCCAACCCACCAGCAAAAGCATGCTTTTTTTCGGCAACAGCATATGTAGGTATTTCTGTAGAGGATGGATGAACCTCCATTTTGGGGTCTTTTCTTTTATTTTCAAGCAACTCCTCAGAGTCAGTCATATTTCTGCAACATACTTGTGCATTATTCCTTGAAAAAGATACCTCAGTATGATGGTTAGTGCCAAGTCCCGAACTCATTTTGTTCATTCCATCATTATCAGTGCAATTATCTCTGTATAGAGCAAAGAGATAATCTCCATCTGTAGATGTGGCCATTCTGGTATCTGTAAAAACTAATGTGCCATTCAATAATAGAGGACCCTTAGATTCAGCCGGAGTTGAATTTCGCACTGCATCCGTTGTAAAAAAGTCATTAGCAGAACAACTTCCATTTTTTGATGCACAAGCTGCTTGTGTGCTGCCTGACAGATGAACACAGTCTTCAAATATTGTTTTCTTTTCAGGCACTGCTCCTTGCAGATGATGCCTCAGACTAATGGAATTTACTTCTTTCATCCAGCTATACAATTTTCCCATCTCACCCTTTATTTTAATTTCAAAACCATTCCCTTTACAAGAACCATTAAGAGATTTTGCCTCGTTAGCCTGCATTAACCACCTGGACAAAGATCGAACATAGCTTTGACTATGTACATCGAAGATGCTCATCTTCTCAGTTACCTTCAATAACTTAAGCTTGGGCTGTGAAGTAGGTAAAGAATGAGCCTTGGCCTTTAGATCAGCATGATGCAACATTTCACTTTCTGCAGAGACTTGAAAGTTACTGACATTATCTCTGTCTAGATCATCCAAAACATCTTCCTTCAGCGGGCCAACCGAATTCCCAGAAACGAAATCTGACCGATCCCACATCAGGTCAACAGCTGATATTAGCGCATTCTTGCTCAGAATTTGGCTCAACTTGGTCTCCTCCCTTTTGCTGGTGTTCTTCTTGCAAGCATATGCATACTCTTCACACACATGACCACGGATCTTAGACGGCTTCTTCTTACTCTCAGATGAATTGCACCTATACTGAATTGAAGGCTGACCCTTTTTAACTGATCCCTTTGCTGCAGCCATTTGCAAAATTTTCACCTCAAAATCTTCCCTGCTGCTAACACAGAAAAGAAAACCCAACAACGCCCATTATTTTAAATTTCATATACATAGAAATGAAGGAAAAAATCAACTTTCTACGAAGCGAAAATTGGGCACTCAACCAAAACCCTGAAGCATATGCCATATCAAACAAGAGAAAAAGTTGGGCAAATGCGATCAAAATCATTGCTTGAAGCCGTCGAACTTACAAGGTAACAGGAAATATCGACGAAAATCTGATTGACTAGACCAATAAATCTGAAAAATCAAGCGGAGGAGGAAGAATTAAGATCGGATTCTCTCCAGAGTTGCAGAAAAAATTCTAACAAGGATGAACTTACATAAGCCACCCATAAAGCTGTAGCTCGAATCAGCTATAACCTTTGATAATTTGGGATGCACTTGGGCAGAAACTCGAGAAACTAAAGTTCATTTTCTCGGGAAAATCTGGGCGCAGAGTGAAAAATATTTTGCCTGAAGGGAATTTATGGGGTTTAAAGAAAAATTCGCAAGGGTTTTTCGTATCTGACTGGAAAAATTGGGAGGTGTTTGCGAATTTCGAAACGTCCCCTCTATTATTTTATTTTTGTATTTGAGTACCATAGTAATATATATTCCAAATATAATTATTATAGAATTAACAATTGACATGTAGACCACATAAAATGCAATAGGATGTAACTGACCATAATAAAACATTTGGGGCGAATTTATGAATTATAAAAGTCTAATAGAGTTTTGTTGCAATTTTGACTCTTGGAGGAGAAATTTTTTTTCTTTCGGCCCTTTGGTACACCGGAAGTTAATTTGGAGATGGAGATCGGCACTGAAACGGAGGTGGATCTATCGGCGGCGCCGGCGAAGGCGGAATCGGAGACTGTATCGGAAGCATATCCACCATCCACGTATCAGCTAGAGGAGGGAGACCGCCGCAGAAGATCGGAGTCGCCGTCGTTGAAGAAGTGGGGATATGTTGAGAGCTCTTGAGACTGTCGAGAAGAATTCGCAAGCGATCGCGGAGAGCTTCTCGTCTCTCTTTGTTTCCCTTCGATCGGCTTTCTCTGAGGTCAGATAGTTGTTTAGTTAGCAGATTTTACCTGTTGTGTTCCGTTTGGTTGCCGAGAAAATTTGAAGGGAAAATGTGAAATTCTGGGAAGGTTTAGGTTTCATATCCTATGTGTGTGTAGTTCAAACAATTTCTCAGAACCATCTCTGATATCTCAGGGAAGAGCGAAAGTAGGAATTTTGGGAAGCTAGACTTTGTGTATTGCTCGAGTTAGCTCTAAATTAGAGCATTTTGGTTTCCGGATTCTGGATCCAGGAATTTTCGTCAGTGACTGACTCCATCGCAGAAGCATCATACCTGATGCTTTTGGATTGATCAAATCTCTTGCTGCACTAGTTCAGGTTTCTGCCTTAGTGATTGCTGGGAAATTCTTAGAAAAATAAGATCATTATTCGGATTGGTCTTCGGAAAGTGGAAAGTTCACTTTGAGTATAAGATTCTTCTTTTGTGTCGCTTATGAAATTTACATGTTGGTGTTATAGGCCACAAGTACCTCAGTTGTTCACATGCATTGCTTTGGCGAGGAAGCAGGACGACTTCTGGAAACCCGGAAGTGAAGTTGTAAGCTTTTTAAGTTTTTCAGCATTAGATTCAACTTGCTATCTACATAAACTATATCCCATTCTACATGATATATTCCTTACTCTTTAAATTTATGCTCCACCGAGAAATATGGACTGTTTTGCGTCAAAGACATCCTCGGAATGGAATGAAGCAGATGAACTTTATTTGCGTGATCTGGGAAATGTGTTTTCTTGTGTTTCTGATGCTAGTAATGCTAGATTTACGTTATTGCTGTTCAACATCACTCACTGGGGAGAACTTGAATGACTAAATCATCTGCTGATGTTACGTCAATGACTAAGCTATTTCCGTGAAGAATTGTTCTACGATGCTGTTTCTATCCTTGGATCTTATGATCTTCCATTTTAAGTTATGCTATCTTTCTTGTTATCATTAATTTTCAGCTCTAGTTGCAGCCACCAAGGGCAATCGCTACATTAATCCTTGCCTCAGGTACTTACATAATGATCTGATACTCTTATCTTGTTCAAGCACAGAATGTGACCAAAGAAGTTGCTTGTCTCTAAGCTGTCACAAAAACTATAGAGCTCATTTATCTGATTCCTGAACCTCCATGTATCTTTTCATTGTGTTAATGGTTTGGCGACACAGCATTGATTTCCATCCAGCATATAAAGGAAGCAGATACACTACTTGAGGTGTCTGTGAAGAAGAAAGAAGAACAAAGCTGCGAGAAGAAAAAGAAGCTCGGCGGAAGGTACTGGCCAATTTTAATAAATCTGCAGCATCACTCTGTTTCAATAAATATTTGTGCATATTCATTGTGGATTTTTAATCGGTGCAGAGGCTGAGAATAAGAGAAAAGAAGAAGCTGACATGAAAAGCAAAGTTGGATGAGATTGCGGAGAAGCAGAGGCAAAGAGAACTGGAAGCCAGAGGAGAAGGATAGGATTAGACGAAGAAGCTCTGTTGAAACAAACCGAGTCTCCACCTTCTCGTCTGCCAACGGGACCGGGGATGATCACTGGGCAAGCAGAGGACTGCCATCTCGGAGACCTGACCGGAGGACCAGCAGCAGGGAAAGAACTGCTGCCCCTCCTCCGGCCCCAAGGTGACCGCTGGGGCGAACACCAGAAGTGACACCTGGCGCAGTGACTGATGACCGTCGATTATATAACACACGAGACAGTTTTGTCTTCGAAATGGGGTTCTTCCTCTTGTTTTGGCACTGAAGATCTTTGTTTTGTTACTACATATGAACCATGTCTTAGGATCATCATCATCATCATCATCATCATGATGTGGAAACAGTGAGAGTCAAAAGGCCATTCATAACTCAAATCGTAAATTTGCTTGCCAATGGGAAATTGAGACGAGATTAGATATAATGACAACTTGTTTCTGAGTATATTATTTAAAACAAGGGATTTATATAACAAACTATATCCAAGGGATGTGGATCCAAATTATAATATTTTCTTTTGGCACCAACTATAAGCACTGTATATAACAGACGAAGATATAACCGATTTTTACACTGAAGAAAAAGGTTACAACGATTGATTGCATAGATTGAAAAAGAAGAAAAATGTAGCGTTGGATTCCACTATATGACATTGTGTTATCATTACATAATTCCCCATATAACATAGTGCATAAATCTTTAACCAAAAAAAAACACAGTGCATAAATAAAACTATCATATATAACATAATAATGAAGATACAAAAATATATATATATTATTTCTTCATTCAAACAAAATTTTATAAGATAATCATTTTGTCTTAACCAAAAAAAAAAACATTATCAAGTGGATTCTAAACCGACTAAAACGCGATATTAAAATCTAAAAATAATTTGGAAAATCTGAATATGTAAATATCTGAATCGAAACCGAAATAGTCAAATACCTAACCCACCATTGTGATCCACTTTTTAGCTTTAATGGTTTTCGTCCATATCAACAAAATCGAAAGATAATCAAAATCATCATTATGGATTCGGAAAAAGCTGCAATTCGCAACCTAATCTGACCATTTTCTAATCAAAATCAGTCACATAAAATAGAAATTTTCACAATTTCGTGTCTGATCATTGACTTTACGCCAAAGTTGCATCGGTTTAATTCCATTGGTTCACATAAACCAACCAATAACCGGAGAAACTAGAAACTGATCCAAAACCACGACTTCAAACCGGAACCAAACCATATTTACCCCCCCCC